TCAGTCTCCATCAGGCTCACGCTCAGGGGGAAGACCTGAGTGAGCCACTGAGACCAGATAAGATGTTTCTCTGTTCCAACATGCTGAGAGAAATGACATAATGATTCCTGCATCGAAAGTCCCACTGATGCTGTGATGATGTCCCACAATGCTTTACACTCAGACCTAAAAACCTGTTCTATATTTATTATTTTAGATTGGTTTAAAGTGATGATTCAGTTATCTTTGCAGTTCATAAAAAAAAATAATAAAAATTACTGCTCGCTCATAAAGAGCCCACATAATTCTAGTTTTGCTTGGTCTTTGTGTGATTTTTGTTTTTCTGCCTTTGATTTACTTTTTTCAGATGGAGAAGAAAAAACCCTTGATTGTATCCACCTCCAGGTGGATAAAAAGCCACGTCACAACATATATTTCACTTACTCTGTTGGCAGAGAAGCAAAGATGGCAAAGGTTTACAGTGCACAGCAGGCTTTGGATATGATTCTGAACCATGTTCTAAGCTTTTTTATTGTTTTCTATTGTATGGGTGTACACATGTTTATGTTATGTTTTAATTTTTACTTTATTTGTGGGTGTACACAGGTCTTATGTCTTATGTAATGTTTTCATTTTTACTTTATTGTACTTTATTACTATTCCGCACCTTATGTCGAAGCAAATTCCTAGTTTGTGAACCTCGTTCATTGACATGGCAATAATAAACTGATTCTGATTATGATTCTGATGTCAACCTCTGTGACTCAGAGGGAGAAGAAATTACTCTTGAGCTGAGTTCTGACTCTGAAATTTCTTCTGGTAAGATTTCCTAAATTTCCTAATTTCCTATATTTGTTTGCCGGTTATGCCTATTGTGGTTTTGGAAGAGACGCACTGCAAAAAGTACCATCTTGATAAGTTAAAATTGCTCAAGAATATGTATTTTGACCTAAAACAAGACAAATGGCTTGATAAGATGTTTTTACTTAGGACTTTATGAATGTTTTAGTTAAAAAAAAATTTTTTTTCAAGTAGCTGAGGGTTTTTTGTATAAATTTATGTAAAAATATCGTTAGCTACTGGCAAATTTTTAAAAGACAAAATTACTTTAAAAAGGTTTTAAAAATCAGAGCTATTTTGACTAAACAATATGCCACTTTTTTCCATTCATTTAGTTTATTCATTAATTTTCATAAAAACAAAGCAAATTTATGTACAAGAAAAATATATACAACTGAAGAAAGAAAATAAATGAAAGGCAGCAGAAAGAAAAAAAAAATCTTTTAGTATCTGCTCCGTCACACCATCAAATCAACCCAGAAAATTTAATCTCCACGTAACAAAACAAAAAAATAATAATAATTAAAAAAATCTTTTTGCAGTGTGAAAAAATCCTACATTAGTACAAAGGAAGCATAGTTGAGATGTTTTGGAATTACAATTCAAATATTATGTTTGTGTCAGTTTCACATTATTTCAACCTTTCACTAATCAAATCTCAAACATATGGTCCTGTAGATGAGGAGAATTCACCACCTCCAGAATAGAGAGGACACATGGAGACACACGAGTGGCTCACAGAGATAGCAAAAGAAGGCAGTGTGGTGTGAAGAACAGATCGGAAGACCTCTGCATCACAGCCCAATTGAATGTCATCCCACGGATGGAGAACCAACTGCTTTAGCCAGAAGAAAAGTGTTGAGTCACTTACAGAGTTTCCTCTGTTTCATCTCTCTGGAAATGCTTTGGACCATACAGGAGTGGACTGTCCAGCATGCATGCCAGTCACAGCATGAAAACTGGTTCATAGCCCTCCCTGAATCCCTGAACTAATGGCATTCATTTGCAATCCTCATCCTGCAAGGGATTGTTCGCCTTCCAGCGGTGCATGACATATGGTCTGCAACACTGGGAGTGCCCTCAATCAGCAAGATTATGGCTTTTGTTATCATATTGTTGCATGCCTATTTTATTTTATATTTTATTACTTGCGTACTTAGATTTATATAAAATATTTTGGACATCCGCTGTGAGAAGCAAAGTAAGAATTTCATTGTACATGGAAACAGTGTAACATGTGTCTTTAATGTGCATATAACAAAAAAGCTTTGAATTTTGAATCTAAATTTCTGGTAACGTTGATTTTTTATTTTTTTGGGGAGGGGGGTTTTTCAAACCATAATAATAACAGGAGTTACATTGAAGTTCCTTTGGAGACCAACTTGTTGCTGAGTAGAGTGTCTTTAGAGTTACTTCTTGCAAATGTAATGGCCTCATTTACAATGTACAATGGAGGCAAGCGGGCTGAATTTGAATGAATTTTATTTTGAATTCTTTCTAAAGTCAAGTTCAAACCTGCCAAATGGCAGTTCCTTGGGATTTAAAGGTATAACTGCCAAATGGCAAAGGTTTGTTAATAATGTTATATTATCACATTATCATCAACAAAGTTTAAATCACATAACTTGATCCATAATGTCCAGACAGCTTCATTTAGCTCAGATAGCTTCATTACATCTCCCACCACAAACAGAAACATAGTTTATTATTCACAAAGTTTGTTTTCTCAGTCATCCAGGTATATAACAACAAAAAAG